ATCACAGGTCCCTCAGCAGTTCCTCATAAGACTTGTCCTCTAGACCCTTCCCGAGCTTTGTTGTTCTTCTTTGGACACGTCCTGAAGTGTGCCATTTCTCTGTAACTTCCACTTCTTGCTTACGAAGGGTGAGGTTGCTATTCATATTCAATGAAGGCACTATATACTGGATTTAGGGGAAAAAAAAAATCTGAACTTCAGGCAAGACTGTATGGTTATTGAGTCAAAATGTATGTGTTCACATCTGAGCAATACTCTATGTTCTTATGCTTTTACTGCTGAGCAAGCATGGTTAAGGGAGCAATTACACTTGTAGTGAAAGATAGCTTTCTTTTCAAGTAGTTATCTAAGAAAAGGATAGTTAATTTGCTTGTAAAGAACAAATAGGGCTCATGTGGAGTCAGTGTTATTTTATTTCTCTGAGCTTTTTAGTTTGTGAAATTTCAGGTGATGTGGTTCCTTTCCTCAGCTGCAGCGTACAGTATAGAACTGGAGCAGTTGCATAATTTGGGTAGAAGCAGTGCACTGGAAATGCTGCTTTATGACAGCAGTGGAGGCACATCTGTGTTTTTGTGCTGTTTAAAACAGCCTGACAGATACATAACTGGTGGTCTGTATTTCCCTGCAGGAAACCAACAGGCCCCTCTCAGTCCCCGTGTACAGGACTGAATCTTGAAAGGTTGGCACATTTCTGACAGGCCTCTGCATGTTCAGTCTTCATGATAGTTTTTGGTCAGGCTCCAATATCCACACTGTTTGTTGCCTTTATGCTTTTTATTTTTACTGTCAAGAAAAATGGCGCTATTTGAAGGTACCTTGAGAAATGTGAGTTGGCTGGGTAAATCAAGTTTCTCTGTTTCTCTGCTGCTTTTCTTTGTCGAGTCCCCATTCAGTCTTACTTCTTTCTGTGAAGGCAGCCAAACAATTGGAATGTTTTTGGCAGAAGACATAATTTCTGCTTAATGCTGTTATTTGTACTAGTGGTTTATGAATTTGGCACTGAGTTACTACTTCACATTTTCATGTACATATAATGTTTTGTGATTTTATTTTTGCTTTTCTGGTAAAATCTGGGCTAGCGTGGTAAAGTCTGGGCTAGCAACTTGGTTCTGTGATAAAAGAAATAATGATTTGGGGATTTGGAAATTTTAGTATATATTTAGTATACTAAATATACTGTACAAATAATTTTGCATGCATAAGCACTGTAGACTCCTGTTTTTTGAATCATTTCCATAGTTAGCTTTGGAGCTCTTTAGTCACAGTGACATTTTTACAAGTTTGGGGAAAGGATGGATTTTGTGGGGCTTGAGGCCAGAGCTTTCAGAAAGACAGGTAAAAAAAAACTGTGTCAGTGGTCCATTTTTGGTTTAGTGAAGGATGATGTGCAAACCAATATTTGACATTTAGCCTAATGCCAAATCATCCAGTCATGTAGTAAACTGAAGAAAATTGGGTGCTCAAGACCAGTAGGGCTCAAAATGCTGTGCACATGCTGCTGTTGCACTCTTTCTTCCCTGTTGGCATTTAGCCTGTCTGCCTCATAGGTGGTCTTTGGTTGTGTCTCACTGCTGTTTGGTTTTTGGTTGGTCGGGGCTCTACTGACCTACCCTATAAAGCAGAAAGCAGCCTCATATTTTTTCCATTTCAGGAATTCTAGTTCTGGTGGGTTTATTTTGTTAAAATTCTTAGAATAACAAAATAGGTAGGCAGGAGTTGCATATCATCCCGTTCAGAATGGGGCAATCCCCAAAGTTAGATTGGGTTGATATATCCAGATGAGTTTTGCCCATATCCAGCTACAGAGATTTTGTAACCTTTCTAAGCAACTAGTTCCAGTGACCTTCCTCACTGTGAAAAATTTTCTCTTACCCATAACTCTGAGTTTTCTTTGTTACAGCTTGTCTCTCTCAGAAGGATCTGTGTCTTCTCTATATTTGCTCACAAGGCAGCTAAAACCCTATAAAATCCCTGTTTAGCCTTTTCTCCTTAAAACCAACTAATCAAACTCTTGCAAACTCCTCATAACTCCTGTCCTGCAGACCCCTAATCGTCTTGAATCACCTGCTGGACTTAGCTCAGGATATCCATGAGCAGGTTAAACCAGATGCTGCACTTCAGATGAGCCAAATAGGGGGGTTTAATGATTTCCCTTTGTCTGCTGACTATGATCCTGTCAACAGAGTGCACTACACGGGTAGCCCTTACCACTATGTAGTGCTGATTCTACTAAAATATTATTTTGGCTCCAGATAAGACAACAGCTAGTTTAAAATGCAGATATTTGTTCCAATCTGTAAGGGCTACGGAAATTACAATCTGGTTGTAAAATTTTTAGAAATGAGATATGGCTGTCTGTAACAGTATAGAATGTGATACATAATAGTTTTTTTAAGTTTTAAGGCCAGTGAAGAGTTTACAAAACTGAAGGATGGCTAAATGATTTGGCTGTTCAAACCTGATCAAAGCATGTCATAGTTTCATTATCAGAATGAAAATAATGTTAGAGTGTCACAGAAGAAAGCTGCTTCACAGAATACACAGCAAGATGAGAAAAGCTACAAAAAAAGGGAGACAGTCTTTGACAAGACTCTCTACAGTTTTCTTTGCATTTCAAAGAGGTGGTGGGCAGGGGGAAAGTAAAAGGTATTGTCAAAGAGGAGACAAAACTGAGGAAAAAGAAAAGAATTGGAGGACAAAAGACAACTACAAACTGAGGAAGAAGACAACAAAGCAAGCTGAAGGTTGTTTAGTAAATAAAATACAAATGAAGACTGTTAATGTGAAAATGAGAATATATCAGAGGGCAGAAGAGATAGGGGGCTGTTTGTGAGCTGGTATGCACATAAACATTTCCTGATGCACAGAGAGAAAATTGACCCTTGAAGACACTTAGTTCAAGTTAGGGAGAAAAAATAAAGAGGAAAATACCTGTCCTTTTTCCAACTAAGTTTAATTTAGGAATAGGTGATACCTATTATAAACCAGTTGGTTTTATGTATTTTTATGCCTCCTCTTGTGCCTTTGTCAAAAGCATGACAAAGACAATAAGTATTCTTTGGCTTACAGTATGCTTTCATTAAAAGCATCAGATGCAAATTTTGTAGTGACAATATGAAGAAACTGCTGCAGCAACAGAAGAAAATTATCTGACCCCTGTTTCTTCATGTCATTTTTATTTATATAAGTTAGTTGAAACCAACTGCATATGTCTTATCTCCTTTTGGGTCAAGAATCAGCAAGGAAGAAAAGCCAGGGATAACTGCTTCACTTTGCCCTCTGGGAAAATGTTTTTATCAAGTTTCCAGATAATAAAGTTACTTTTATTAAGCAAAATCTTGAAGTCTTTTTAGCAATATGGGAGTTTATAAATTTTAAATAATACTCATGCTGCATTCATCCACTTCTAAGGTTAATCCACTTGTCTATATTTTATATTCTTTTTAAAAGAAACAGAATATTTTGCATGAACTACTTGTATTTAAAAGCATATAAAAGTAATAGACTAGAATAAAATAAGTATCTCTGTAATCAAAGTACATTTCATTTCACAGCTTTTAAGTATGTAACAGATTAGTATTATTCCACTTGTAAAAAATACTTGAATCGGCTATCTCTCTTATTCTTTGACTAGTGTTTTTATAACTGTCCAAAACTAGTTTTAACTTAGAGTTGCCTTAGATTTCTGAAACACCATAAAGTTTCCTAAGATAGGGAGGAAATGTGACTCTTTTTAGAGGACTGTGTCATTTAGTCAAGACTTGACATCCACCTGGGCTAAGAAAACTGACTGTTTGTTCCCTGGGGAAATGCTTTGAGAAGGTAACTGGTTTTTATGTAGAGTACCCTCCTAAGTTAGATTTTTGGTTTAGTGTGCCCCGAGGCAAAACGTTTCAGGATATTTTAGAAGATCCTGCCAATCTAATTAGTCTTACAGGAATAATGCTAAAATTCATTCTCTGTTTCCCCCTTCATAAACTATATGGTGCTTCATCCCTACACTGTCAGTGGCAGCTGTTAACTGCATCTCTAAGGGGGACAAAAACAGGCTTAGTGCTGTTCCAGGGAGTAATGGGAACTGGTCTCTTGTTCCACCAGAGGTGGGGCAGGTGGGATAGCCCTCTGAGTGGAAAATCTCTTCCAGGACTGGGGATTTTTTGTGAAGAATGGGTGGATTCAGTCTAGAGCAGCAAATGTTTGCATCCTGTCGCAGCAGCTAAGGCCATGATTCAGTGATTGATTTCAAATTCTCTCAAGGCAAGACCAAGGAATGGGGGTTTGCAGTCACTGGGTCTCCATGTAGAGTGGTCCCAGCAGGCTTTCTGTTCCTGAGGAGGGGACTCAGTACCTGAACTCCAGCTTAGAAGATGGACTTGTCAGTCCTGCCAGGGAGAGAAGGCACTGGCGTTAGTGTTGCTGTGGTGCTTGGTGGGGTTGGAGTTACCTTGGGGTGCTCCTTTGTATAGTGTCTGTTATTCTGCAGACACTCAGGAGGTTGGGGTTTTGCCTCAGAGAGAGGAAATACTGCTACAGCTGTAATAAAAGCCATTTGGAACTGCACAAGTAAAGCACTGAGCACTGTAAGCTTTCTATCTGACAGATATATGTTACTTTTATATACCTCTTGTTTTTATTTAATTCCTCTGAAGTGCTTGTGTTGATGAATAATTAGAACCAGGATTAGTATGCCATTCTTTTGAATAAGCTCTTATTTTGTTTAGATTTTTTTTCCCCCTAAAATCCATTTATATTCCAAGGTACTGAAAGGCAAAGTATTTTAATGGTGTTCTTGCAGAATATTTTCCTGAATGGATGAGGAAACAGTCATTCCAGTTAGCACTATGTAAAAAAGTGAAGTGCAGTTAGCTTAATTTTCCATTTTTATCTGTCATATATGTAAATAATTCAAACATATAAGCTTTGAAAGAAATTAACAGTTTGAAACTGGGACTGCATGAGTCTCATAGGATAATATTAGTATTTCATGTGTGTTTCAGGTTGACATTCGTAAGAAAAAGGTTGGTTTTCCTGAAGTATGAACCATTTAATAGTTAATGCTGTTTTTCACTCGGCTCCTGTGATAAACTAGAATGTTCATGTATTTCATGTGTATGCTTATGTAATTAAGCATCCACTAATTTATTTCTCTTTGGAAAATACTTCTCCAAATCAGCACTCCATGTATGAAGATTTAAGATTATATCATCTGTTTGTTTAAGGTAAGCATTAGGACAGGTATTATTATTTTATAATAGATTCTTAATCCCTTGTCTGTGAAGTGTTGATGTTTTCATTAGAGTTAAAATATGTTGCATGTGTACAGAAAGCCTGAAATCTCAATATGTGGTTTTATCAATTTTAATTATTTGAATCATTAGAACAGCTAATTTTTTGCTTAAGGGTACACCAATGTACCACTGAATCTGTTTTTTAAGGTTTTTTCCAGTTTAATGTCTGAATCCAAATTCATAAAGAGTTGGAAAAATGAGATGTCTGAGCTATAGGATTCACAGGGATTTTATATGAAGCCTATTTAATCAGGATAACACTGTTATTAATATTCATAAAGTCAGCTGGAACACAAATGACAGACTATGGAGCCTAAAATTTTTTACTTGTGAATTTATTAAAAGCAGCTTAAAAAATTAATGGAATTTAAGTAAAGTTGACGAAAATGAAAATCTTATGTTAGCAGAAAAAATCTATATTAGAACTTTGTCTAAGACCATCTTGCATTGATATCTTTGACAGATTTCATTGGTACTTAAAGAAGAAAGATGCATGAATGGTCATTTAAAAGGATTTAAACACATTGGCACATTAATTTTTACATGAATAATAAGTAGTTTCCAAAAGCAATTAACTTACAGTGTACAAGATTTGAATAGAAAAATAGGACTGTGACATCAAAGGGCAAAGCAAATGTGCAGTACATTTTAAACTTTTAATAATACGACTTCTTAAAATAATTTTTTTCTTTTCCACAGTAAGTAAAGTAGCACCAAAGGAATTTGTGTACAGCTTGGGTTTGTTTTGAAATACACCAAGATCTGGAAAAAAAATATTTTTATGCCAAAGTGCTGTTGGTAAAGAACAATTTTAAGGCTTTTACATTGATCAAGTCCTTCTGAATCAGCTTTCTCTGTGTGGAAAACAGATACATACTGACCACAGTGTGTGATTTTTTTCCCATGCTGCTATATGCAGCATTTGGAAGCATTTCTTATTTCTGTAGATGGCAAAACAGTTACATCTGAGAGTTCTTTCATTATTGTGCTTATCTATTAATTTTATGTCACTGTTGCATTTTAGATTCAACCGATAGTAACATTTTCTCTTTTTTTTCACTTTCTTTCATGGTGTCCTAGTAGCTTTACATTAGCACAAGGTGGATAAATAAATAGTGAATAAGGAAATTAGATTTTACATTACCTCTAGCGTTTGGGTTATGGTTTCATTTTATATTTTCAGTTTTGTCTTGATCAGCCAGTATACTTTATTTTAATCTCCAGATTTTATTTCCTCTCATTATTACACAGATTGATTATTAGCAGATTGTTTTCAAATGAAAGAAAGGGTTTATTATAATTGTGTTCAATTTTTCTGATGATCCCTTGTGTGAAAACCTTAATGGCTACTTCTGATCATTTTTTGAAAAATGCTGGCTTTTAACACTCACTGAATAATGATGGTTCAATAAGTTTTGGTTCTAAGAATACCTTATGTTCAACATACCTTCTGTAAAGGTACATCTTGAAGGAGAAGTAAGTCTTGTGCACAAGTCAGCTACCTATTGCAGCACTTGTGTTCAGAGCAACCAGTTTAAATAGCTAATGTCTGGAATATTTTGTTTTTCTGTATCCTAACTTTTGTTTTTAAATTACGGGGAAATTAATTGGCACACCCTAGGAAGCCCTAAAAATCTTTCCGTTTTACTTTGATCCATAGGTGACCTCAGTCTGATATCAGCCATTTTTTTTATTTTCTCTATGTTTAAACCAGAAAATTCCTATTAGTTAACAGAACCAATTTCACCTGTGAAGACAAGGTCTGTAAAACAAGCCTCTTGACTTCAGTCATAAATTTTTCCTGTGCCATAGTCTATTATTTCCGGGAGAGGGCAGCATTTTCCTATGTCAGGTACAGAAAGGCACATGCCCTGCTTAGACTGTCAATGTTTCTTGTAATTACTCCCAGTATATTTGTTGCTTGCTTATGAATTAACTTGCATTTATGGAACTAAATCATTCCAATCATTTAATTACACCTGAGGAGCTGAACTATAATTGCTTGCTTCCAGCTAGGATCTGATATGGCTTGAGCAGTATTAATTTGGTGTTTACTTTTCTGAGTGCTAAAAGCATTAAAATGATTGTGCAATGGGATTACATTTTACTAATTGCTGGCATTCATTAGCTGGGTAAATGGCGAGGAAGAATGACTGTATATTGTGGAGGGATAAAATTATGGTTTTAAATAGTATATTACTAGACACATTAAGGCCCTAAGACATGTTTTAAAATACTCCAGAGGTTATTAAATACCATATTTTCTTCATGTCTTGCTATATGAATATCTTATTAAAATACTGCAATTATTATGAACCTTTTTGTGCAATATGTAGGGAAATGGCTTCATTGACAGAAACCTATTTCTTGATATTAATAACCCTCTATATTTTCAGCTAATCCAAAAGTAAATGAGGAACTTAGGAAAAGATTGCCAACTTCAAATCAACACAGTTACACAGAATTGAAGAAGAAGCATACAGCTTCATTTGAGGGATTCTTTTAAGGGACTCAGTGTTCTGCGATATGAGGTGAACTTTTTATTTTTTGTTAAGACCTAAACACATCAAATCCTCTGCATTTTTTTTATCATGCAGATTTATAGTCAACAACAAATATGAGCTAAATATGTATTTCTTGAATGTTTGATGTACATGTTGGTGTTGAATCTTAAGTGTTTGTACGATTAATTTTTTAGCAATTTTAAATATAAAAATGAAATAATCTGCTTTTTTGGTGTTATGTAGCAAAATAATTTCTCCTGCTTCTTTATTATTTAGGATATGTGTCTTGGTATAATTTGCTTGAATTGTAAAATATGTACTTAATTTTTTAATTTAATCTCTTACATTTGTAGCACAATGACAACTGTCTGAGTGTTTTCATAATCTAGTCACTGTATCTTCAAGGCACATGTATCTTTTTAATAAATGTAAAAAAAATATAGCAGGGAAAACATACGAAATAAGCACAGTGCATAGTTAAGGATAAGAATTGTCCTATATACAATATTTTTTAAAAAGGTACTTGAGTAAGTAATCCAATTTGTGGTTAGCTTACTATGTTATCAAGATTACAAACTTATTTAGATTTCCTTGCGATACAGAGTATAATTGAATTTTTTACACATAAGAGAGCATATATTTTAATGCCCAAAATGGTGCTTGGTAGACATAAGATTTTACAGTAGCCTTATTGAGGGTTACTTCTTGAAGATTTTTGATTATATGAAATATTGCAACTGTGTAATTAACTATAGTCTGAAGCAATATGCATGCAAATATTGGGATGCATTACTTAGCTGTTCAGAAAGAACTTCAAATTCAGAGTTGGAGTGGCCATAGACCACTTTACCTGCATTTTATCTAGGAAATTAAAAGAAGAGAAAGAATGCTGTAAAGTGAAGCACATGCCACTATCTGTAATAACTGCCAAAGTGAGCAGTCTTGTTGTCTGTAGCAGGACTGCTTGGTGTGATTTGGACTGTGCTCAGTAATGTGTACTTCCAAGACCAGACTCTAGAAAAAAAAAACAAACTAATAAATATTTCAACAAAGACATCACATGCAACAGAAAGCTGAACCAAACAAATATAAAAATTAGATGAGTGAAGAAAAGAAAATTTATGGAGAAATATAATTTTTCACTGGCTGTTAAAGTATGCATACTTCATTGTGCTGCTATAAATATTTAAAATAATTTGTTTTGTAAATTTTTTGTCAAATGAAGGCAAAGTATAGGTGTATTATATTGTTTCAAGTTTATTTATCTAGAGTTTGTTTTATTTTAGCTCTGAAACCTTCAAGCAAAAACTGGACTCAGTGCCAGATCAAACAAGTTCAGAGGAACAAATGGAGAACTGGTCAAAAGGTAGGGACTTCAAAGATATTAATAAAGAACCTTAGGTGTTATACCAGTGCTAGGCAGTGACTGGAGTATGTTTGTTCTTGCTGATATATGACTGACTTTGGAAGAAAAGAAAAAAAAAACCCAACCACATACTGCTCCTTAAAAGAACTTGGAGTAACAGGAGAGCAGCTACATGAATATGAAGCTTCACCTTTATTTTCTGAATTTTTGAAAATGTTTTTTTATAATTTTCAGAAGACTTGTTTAAATTCTTAGTCTGTACATTGTACTTTACTTTCCAATCTTTTTTTTTTTTTTTATTATTATCAATATATCTGAAAATTTGTCTTAAAGTAATTTTCTTGGCTATTCACACCTGGCTTGGGTATGATTAAGCCATCTACTAATATTAATGAGTTTCTCATTAGTAACGCAACTGAATGTAGACAGCAAGGAAAGGCTTGGAGATAAAGGTGACCTTGGTTAACTTGGAGCTTCCCCGGTTGATGGAGCTTTCATCTTCATCAGGATGCAAGTATCTTTTTGTATTTTTAGTTGGTTCACCAGACATAATTGTTCTCAGATACATTCTTCCATGTTTCATGACAGAAACCTAAGGGGAAAAAAACCCACCGAGTTTGAGAGTACATTACATGACTGACTTACTGACTTTGTAGAAGAGAATTTTCAGAAGTAGCTTATGACTAGATTGTGACCTGTAGAAGGAAGGGAAAGACATATAAAGAGATCCTCACTTTAGGGTGGATTTTTGCTACTAAGTGACTATGTAGGTTAAAAAATTCAAAATGGCATAGGTGTGTCAACATCAAAATTTCCCTCTATATCAGAGCCACATAGCTTCTTGTACATTTCCTTTTTTTGAGTTTTATACTATATATTCCCTCTCAAAAGATTATAAATGTCAAGTTTCTCATGGAGAGTCTGTTTAGAAGAAAGAAGAAATGCTTCATTTTGTAGGCTATACTTTCATATGTAAATTAATTTCTACCTATATTATTCTGTAAAATAAACAACTTATCAACCCCTTTTAAATGATGGAATTTTGAGCTGTTACTGAGTGAAGTTCAAAAGTTTTTGAATCATATACTCTGTAAACAACAATAGTCATGGTGGTGTAAGTTAGTGGAGAATTGTATTCTGACAATTTAAACGTGTAATGGCTTAATCAGATTTAGTATTTTTAGACCTTTAGGGGTCAGCATACCCTAAGAATGGTTCAAAAGGTTAAGTTTTCCAAAGTAGGCAAAGGAAACTGATTCTCTGTGAAATAGTTTCTGTCTAATTGCAAGAAATTATGTTCTGCTACTGCTCAGATACATTTTTGAAACTGAGTTGTTATTGAGTTTCATGTGTATTATTTTTCTGATGCATTAAGTCAATATTTTGTGCTGCTTAGACAGCTGCTTCTTCCCAGCTAACACTTCATGTATCCAACAGAGGTTGTTATATAAATAAAAGTAAAATTTATCCACCTTTTTTTAGCATAATCATTAATAAGTCATGTAATTCTTTGTGCTTTTGCTCCTGGGAATGTTAGAAAAAGGGATTATGGGTAAATCTGTCATCATACTGGTGTGGATGAGAAAGTTTTTTTTCCTTAGAATTTAATTTGGTATTAACAGCTAAATTGCATTCACTTATAATAAAGATAATAGGTCAATTTCAGCAACATAATCTTCAATATGTGCGCTTGGTAGATATTCTAGTGCCTTTTCTCATTGAATTACTTAAGCCAGCAACTTCTCATTTTCTGTGTAAATGTGTGTGCTGAGGAGTGTACTATTTTGTGTCCTGCTTGCTCTGTCATCTTCATATCTTTCATTTGTGCAGTTGGTAATGTACTGTATTTAGATCTTCCTTTCTTGTGACTTGGAAGCTTAAAAGCTGGGTTTAAAATAACCCTATAATTTTTAATAATTTAAAATTTTAATAGCGTACTGAAATATTGGAGATTACATTATTTGTCAACAAATAAAGATGGTAAAGCAAGTATGAGACTAAATTTTTCTGACTAGATGAAAATTCAGTCAAGCAATGAGAATTTTAAAAAATAGAAAAAACAGATACAAAGTGGTAGGTTTATGGCAGTTATGTGGGATAATGTGTAACCTGTTAACCAATGTTATAAAATAAAATACTTGAAAGGAAGGTAGTGTTTAAGAGGAGTGTATCTGAAGTGTTTAAAAGGTGAGATTTTCTTTTTAACTTTCCGAGTTGTTTGGAGTATAGTATCCCTTTGTGGATTGAAGACTTTGTCACTGTTCTGTTCTATTAGGAGGAATTAAAGAACAGTTTGTGTGCAAGGCTTGTTATTTTGTGTTTGTATCTAGTTTAAATGTACTCTTTCTCTTGTTTTTAATAGAAGGTTAATGCCTTTTTTCCTTTCCCCCTAAGGATACTTGAGAGAATGTACCAAGAACACTGGCAGCAGACCAGTGAGACTGTGCCACTTAGAAATGAAAAATATTCAGGATCCAAGCTGGACAGCCTAGAATAGTATTCAATTATGAAAATAAACTTGTATTGGCAAATAGGTGCATACCTTTGCATTGCAGTGATGGTGTGTGTGGGGAAGCACATTGCATTGGGGTAAGAGTTGTTACTTCAGTAGGGTTTCCATGCATAGTGGGAACTATGCAAACATTAATACTATGAAAACACAAGAGGGAACCTGAAACTGGGTGGTTTCTTTTCTTATATATATGTTTAGGACTTGATATGGCATTTTTTCAGAAGCATTATCAGGATTGGAAAGTGGTGAGTGTACAAATGTTGGCGTTAAATTTGTGTCTTATTTGACTCCGGTACCATGTTTAATTAGGTGCAGCTATATTCCTGTATTATACAGTCTTTAACTATTGTAATGTTTTAGCTTATGTCATATTTATGAGCATCCATGCTTTAAGGACAGGGCAGAAATTAGGAGAAGTCTTAGAATTTTAAGTGTTGTTTGGTCTGTTTTGACAACAAAATCAGAGTTTTGCTGATTCCAGAATTAAAATCATTGTATAATTTTTATTTGTAAATTCCTTAGACAAGTTAATAGATTGACATTTTTAATGGCAAAGTTGTTTGCTTTCTTAAAAGGTGTTTATTATGTTTTTCAAGCATAGAAATAAACATTTATATATTGCTAAGCCATTACTTGAAACATATATTGAAATGTAAGTCAGTGAACCAATTTCACTTCTCAGAATTTGATGGCAACTTTAGTTGTGATCTATATAGGCACTTCTCACATATCTTCAAAAGAATGCTTGCAGCTTGTAAATATACTTCAAAATTGCGTGTCTGGAAACTAGTTCAGAGGAGACTAGCTTTAAAGGGCTGTGATAATGTAGATTGGAACAGAACTGCAGAATCAGCTTGTGCAGGGAAATTTGTGATGGAGGTGTTTTATCTGGTGGTGAGCTGTGGGGTTTTGGGGTGTTTTACATTCATGGTAATTGAGGAAATGTATTCACATGCAAAGGTTAAGTAAAACAAATAATCTTTTTGTGCAACTTTGACTGTCTTATTAGAAGTAGAAAACTCTTCTAGTTGTATAATGGTTTTAATGTACTTTTTTGTAGAGTTGTTTTTGCAATATTAATTACAAGGACTTTTTTGTCTGGAATTTCTATTGTGTGAGTTTGACACACACAAAGATTAACGGGTAAAGAAAGCCTCAAGAGTAATATGGCGTTGTAAATGCTCTAGTTGGGTAAAAAAGCAGCTAATGGTAAAGGTGCTGCTGCCCATTTCTCCAGAATGTACCCGCTACAGCTGTAAACACTCTAAAGTAAATCTAAAGCCCCTCTTTCAAGGCTGTAACAGAAGCAAAATTAAGCATACTTGTCATAGCCTCTTTCTTCTTTTACATGCCTCAACAGGAGATACTGTGAGCCTATTCTCCCTCTCCCACCATTTTTAGCAACAAAGTGCTGTTTACTTGGAAAAGAAAGAAGGCCTGAATATTGCATGGGTGGTTTGTATGCAGAAAAATCTACATGATATGCAGAGAGGCAGCATCCTCTACCCCCATGTGGCTCAGCTGATCAGTGTCTTCAATGTGTGCTGTGCTTTCAGCATCAAACTCACTGTGTGCTGTCAGATCCCCTTGCAAAGTGCCAAGTGTAGTTGAAGGTTTCTCTGAATGATGTAAAAGCCTGAAAAGAGGCTGAGAGGATGAACTTTCATGAGTAAAACCTAGGAAAAGTCCCTAGCAGCTGTTGAGCAACACTAAGCGTGGAAGATGTAGAAAACCTCTTCCATGGAAGAAGAAGGAATAGTGTGACGTAACATAGAAAATAAAAATGAGTTAATGATAACTGAAAAATCATCCAATGCTGCTTGGTCTTTCCTGTAAACATAATCATCCCTTCATGCACAAATTCTCATCTATTCTTTTTCCATTCCATATCTTTCCTTGTACATTTTGAGTGGTGGAATACAGCACATTTTTAGCCAGACTGCATGCAGAAAGACTCCTCATCAGAAGCACAACTAGATGTCCAGTACTTGCCTGACTCACTGCAGTGTTGTGAATGTGATTTTGTTGAACCCTTTATGGTACGCTCAAAGCGTGTAGGGCCTCATCTGTGCTGAGGACTGCGAGCACTAAGGATGGGGAGAATGCACACCTTGAAGTATTGCACTTTGAATCTTAAGGGTGTAAAGTATGAGTGCAGCTAACTTCAGAATGTCTTGAAATGTACTTCAGAGAGAACAGCACTTACTACCACAGTAATTTTTAAGTAGTGCTTCAGAAGGAGCTTTAAAAGACCTTGCACAAGTGCAAGAGGAATTTGGTTATTTTCTTCTTTAAAACCTTCATTACTTCTATTTTTATAACAGGTAGAATAAGGCTTAAGTTCAGAGCAACAATATTTAAAAATTATTATGAAAAGGTTCTTCAGGGAGTGCGTTGCCAACTCTTATTTGCGAGTTCATCTGCATCTTTAGTAGAACACTCCTGGAGTAAAGGGTGCGGGGGCAAGGCGTCTTATGGCTACTTTATG